TAGGTAAGTAAGCACATTGTTCACGGGAACAAGTTTAACTTTAATTCGTAATCAGGGTCTACTAATTAGGGAGTTTCGATGTTTTCTTTTCATAATTACTTAGCATATATAAATATCGATTACTTAGTACTAAAGGTAGACATCACTTTTACGTTACGAATTAGCGAGTTCTAACCGAACATCTTCGTATGAGATGCTAAATAGCCTTGTAGTGGTAAGTCCAGCACTATCTTTGTAGTGATTTACGTGTGTTCCGAGTCCTCGATCGCGGCGGCGGTAGCGGTGAGGAACAAGACAAGCGTATACGTTGGTGTCCCGATTTGGGCTCCCCCGTTTATTACTCTCTCTCTCTCTCTCCATTTCTTAGTTCTGCATCTGCTGCCTGAAGCTCCGGAGATGCGATAACAATTTATAATTCACTAGGCATTGGAACTGCCAGACCTTAGCAGGAAGACAGGAGACAGGAGCCTGCAGAAGTGTCAGAAGGTGCTGTTTCTGACGAAGGCTTTCAAGCACGGCGACGATGAATGGCCTGCTGTTGGCCTGTTCCGTCAGTACAGCCGCTACGCGGACCACTGAAACTGGAGCTGTTATCTTTTGCCCACTAACCAGGATAGGTGTGCACCTCAGACGTTACCAAAATGTTGGCGCCGCGGTAGAAACTAGGTAGTGATCATTTTCATCCTTAGCAAGCGTTCGCGCCGTAGTCGCTATTACCGGTGTATCGAGGCAAAACAATAGTCTGTCTCCATAAAACTTCATCGATTGCTTAAGAGCAACGAACAACAAGAGGTTTGTCGAAAAAGTACTTGTGCCTTTCCGATTCATGTTTCACTACCGCCACCAATAAAACGCTTGCATCCTATCTTACGCTGTTACGTATGGGCAAAGCCCGAAGTCAGTTACGCGCATCTGGCTTGTGCTCGAGAATTAATATACAAACTGCTGAGCAGTAAGGGAAATCATCAGCGAAATGATTTATATTCGATAGAACAGTATTGAGGGGTCAATATTTGGATAAGCAACAGCAAAACTATAGCTTTCGGAAGGGAACTGGTTAGCAGATTGCTACGTATCTGGGTATTTATGTGCAAAGAGATATCAAACCTGAAGTTCTTTTTATTGGGCGAGTGGCTAAAATTAGCAACGCTGTAAGTAAGTTGCACAAAAATCCACACAGAATCGTACTTTGTCCGCAACTATTCAGATCCATAGAATATTCTAGTAGGTCTGGGTTAGACCACATCCAAATTTACTAATCACATTTAAATCATAAGGAGCCATCGCAGTGTCAATAGTTTGCCAGAACGTATGACACTTATTGCCCTCACGTTTTTTCTTTTATGAACATCGCTGCAATAAGCACTAAAGCGCGTGGCATGGCAAAAACCAATTTGGTGGCAAAAAACCAAAATGGCGAACTAAAATTATAAGCTCAGATCATTTGGAAAAACATTGAGTCTCAGCTGGACATCGAACCACAACCGCGGCATAGGAAAGTTGTTACCACAAGGATGGTATTGAATCTAGGGCAATTCCTGTTTTAACCTAAAGCAATTATCTGTACATCACCCATTGTACTCGTATCGAATTCCCTATACGGTCTATTGTTAAATGCACTATAATCTGATTAATTAAAATTATAAATATAATGTCGGGTTTGAGAAGACAACAAAATTGATTTATTATATGTTCATCGTAGTCTAGCACGCCCTTGGTCCGCTACGCCCGGGGCAATGTTACACCTGCCGCACAGATAACAACGATAACGACAGGCAGTCCTTGGCTTATGTTGCCTATGTGTAGCTGTTCTTGTGTATGCTAGCTTTGAGCAACACCAACAACTAACTAAAGCAATTGCTTTAGCTGGAACAAACGGTGGCTTTTGTTTGCACGGCTGCACAGTGCCGGAGTACAGATCAAAGCTGGTGCACAAGCAGTAAATGAACAAACAGACCCAGTAAGAAACCAGTCAGCATACTAATAGGTAAGCACCATTGTCTCTCTGTCCAGATCGCTGTCGGCAAGAGGATGTAACTACAAAGAACCTTCATCCATCGATAGTTCGCTTTTCGCGTGGTCTCTGCTGACGAGAAGGGCGCAAGTGACGCTTCATAAATTAACGGCTACCGTTTCTCCTTCCACCACGAAAAACTGATTACCTTTACTTACTTTTTGGTTTGTCGTTTTCCTAGATCTCATCAATGCCCCTTTCTCCCCACTCAATTGTGCCAAATCGAAAGAGCCGACAAGGCGTTGGAAATTCTGCTGCTGTCGGCCACAAGAGGGGGAGTCACTTGTGATTCCTTTATCTCTGGGATGCTCCCATGCTCAACAACCAACGAATTGGTGAAATCGCAGCAGTTGCACTATACGCGCCCGAAAACGCCATGTATCCTGCTAGCTTATCTGCAACTCTCCAGCCACCTAGCGATTCCCTAATCGACGGTCCAATCAGCCGACCCAGCGAGCGAACAAAGCCGGCTGCCGTGAACGAAGAAGTCCGTATGTATGGTAGGAACACACGACGCCAATGACAACCACGTTTATAGCAGGAGGAGTTGCGTAGGCGAAGGGTAAGGGACCCAAGCGACGCGGGTCGTCCCACACGAGGCGGCAAGGAGCTGGAGGCAGGACCGGAGGGGCAAATGGGCGGTCAAGGACAGGGGATATCTATTAAAAGAATAGAGTGGCTGCTGGTGTTCCAAACTGCTCCACCCACCTCCGTTCTCTCTTGCTTTAACCACTACTGCTGTCACTGCTGCTGCTAGTAATGCTCGAGTGTGTTAAGGGCACCGCTAACGGCTTAAACCAAGAACCAGGCATGCGACAAGGTGCCATCGAGTATAGAGAAAGGAGAATACAGCGAGTGACGAAGACCAGAGGAGAGTAAAGCTGAAAACGGAGTGGACCAATACAGTAACGAAAGCTCGCACTAATGCTGCTCCTGCTATTCTTTGGACTTGCGCCCCTTTGCCATAGTTGAGTGCCGCTGATCGACATCACACCCCGTACAGGCACAGAGGGCACACCGTTATTTGCTGTTCTGCTCTCTAACCATCCGCGCCAGAGACGACGGGGGATAGATGGGTCAAAGAGAGTAAAAGAAAAACGAGGGAAATGAGGGGTCGTCTATAGTGCGAAGTAGCTGGAGAAGCTGAAGAAGGCCAAGCGGACGTGCTGGTAATGATATGAAAGCGGAACCACCGAAGCTGACAACTCCGTCGGCCTACGTTGGCCTATCGGTCGTTTCAAGGCGGATCGACGTGTCATATTCCCCGCTTCGTCTCTTTGCATTGTCTTCAAACTACGGCACGTCGAGTGGACACGTCCATGCACAACGAGAAAGCAGTGGCAGCACTCTCGGACCTAGCGGTAACGTCCGTTCTAATGGTAACAACGGCACCAGCAGCGCGCTTAGTTAAGGCTGCTTGTTGGTCAGCCTGGGCGAAAACAAGGGAAGTTCACGAGTAGCTGCCACTTACGCCATGACTATTATGCTTTACTACAGTACACACAGCTGTCATACGATACTGCTGTACAAGTTTTCAAAGTTCATACAATGCCCCACATTGGCTGCCATGTTTTTTGTGGGGGTCTACAGCCTTTAATGCCTCTCACGTGGCTCATTGCGTCGCTGTCGTCGTTGGTCTTGATGTTGTTGTTGTCGTCAATATGTGTAGGCAAGATGGTGGTGCATCAAACGTATATCAATGAACGCAGCTATGAACGCAGCGGCGTACAGTTACCGCCCCCCAGTGACAGGGGCGGTACTGTACGCCGCTTATTAAAGGTAGAGAAGGTGGGTGATGAATGACGGAAAGGGTCTTGAAGGGGCAAAGAAAAACAACCAATAGATACGACGAACGCTTTCTTTGTTTTTCGCCTTTTCTTTTTTCTCTCGTAGCAGCAGCAGCGCAAACGCCACGCTAGCAGTTTAGAGAGAAAGAGAATGTGTGGAGCGGAGAAGAGAGACGATAGAGGAGAAAAGTTGTGTGAAAAGTAGAAAATAAAAAATACCAACAAACGTTGCAAATAAGGATAGTAGAGACTAGGTTGCTAGCCACTATATTAATAGGGTAGGAGAGGAAGGAGAAAGCGGGCTGTGGAAAAGTTCCAAGCAGAAAGACAGCATGAAACGTGTCGCAGGACTTTCGCATGGAAACCGTGAGAAAAGCGAGGAGGGAATATTGAGCAGGTGACTTTTGAGGAAGCTGGCCTTCGGCCTCCATCCTCTGCCCATCGTACTGAGATCGAGGAGACAAGCTGTCAGGTGCGCACTCTTTAGTGAAACATTTACAAAATAACTATTCTGCTGATTTATTAGCTTTTGCTCAGCAAGCAGCGCACCGTGCAAACCTGTTTACCTGTAAAAGCACATCACCATTGCCTCGCCGCTGGCAGAAAACGCACTACCCGTAGATACCTGCACAGAAACGTCAAGGACCGCTGAAACGCTGTAAGAGCGTCAACATTCTTGGCCGTGGTGCCGCCCACTGTCTTCTATGGCTCTCTTAGGAAGTGTGGAACAAACCGAATGGCAACCTGTAGAGCTGAGGGAGCGCGAATTCCTGGATGCCGCGCCAGGGTGGTACGACGTCGATAACGAGACAGAAACATTACCTATTTGAGCGTATTTGACTATTTATCAGGTTGGCCTTCTTCCGCATCCTGTTTTACCCAAGCTTTCTTAAAAGCAATTTATTTGTTAAGTGATTAGCTTTATACTTTTTTCTTGGCAGCCCTTTCTGTATATCTTTGGTCAAGTCATTTTAAAGAGCAGCACAGCTTCTTCAGGTTGATTTGACCGACAAATAGAAGAGACACTTATTGCTAATAAGTTATTACATATACCTATGTTCATAATTTAGGATATGTGGCCAGCTTTGTGCTGTGATAATATAAGGTAAGAACGATGTACCTGAGTATGTCAGTGTACTGTAAACAATTTCCCTTTATTATTCATAAGCTTACGTAAAGTTGTAATTGAACAATCCGGACTGTTAAGGGTTCACCTTAGGAAACCTTAACTTTCTTTACCTCCATTTTCAAACGCTTCAATATATTGATGCAGCCGCACGTATCGTACTATGTTGTCCTGGCTGTTGGTTCCATTTGTGTCGCGTATAAACAAATGTTGTGAGACGCACCTTGAAAGAAAATAGGTAAAAATAGAGTATATTTCACGTCTGTGTGATGTGGGCGTGCTTGCACTTTTATTATTAAAAGCTAGACTTTCAGCACAGTGCATACAAATTGTTCACAAATAATTCTTGTCAACGAAACGGCGGTTTACTTCTTAAGAGTGATACATGTACGATAGTAAGGATGGAGTTTACAGCATAAAGGTGGAGTCCACTAAAAATAGGTAGAACTTTTCTCTGAAGGATTTTCTCACTTCAATGAGACAATGTAATTCGTCTGTGGCTGCTTTCTTACTTAGAGGACTAGAACGCGTGCACCCTGAGCTGCAAAAAACGAACCGTAGTACTGTTCTTATTTCTTCTAAAAGATAAAGAATAAGACACAGCTCGTTTACTTTTATATACGTGCGACGAACTTACGCTTCTTCTGCTAAGTAAGCAGCGGTTTTGAGCGATTCGATTTAAACTTAAAAAAACCCAGAATCACGCCTTTCACAATCTGTAAGACTCCGGCCTCACAACATATCTAAAACTGGGGAACTTTTTTTTAATTTCCTGCATGCGTTCGAGCTGGCCTTGTTTATTTCAATGATACCTTAATAATTCCAACAAGCAAACAAAAAAATGCAAAATGCTTAAACATTTTGCAAGCCATTTGTAATTAACTATATCCTTTCATATTTAGGCGCAACCACTGTCTGCAAGCAAGTTCCTGAAATGAAGGTGCCTAGTCGTTGGCCTGGTATCATGTCCCGCTATTCGACGACTTTTAAAGTTCTTTGCGTCTTATCATCCGCACTGACCGCTATTGCCTCTTTTAGGGCGTCCAACAAATTCGATAAACTAAACCGTCTAAGCTAGATGGCATTATCACCAGAACTAATGTTACAAGCTTTTTAGCGTTGTGCGCGGTCTGTGTTTCTTCTATCGCTGGGTCTGCGCACACACACGCTCTAATCATTTACTCACTGACCACCAACAAACAAAAATGGTTTGATTGGTTCAACGCCGCAAAGCTCAGTGCCGCCCGTGCGGCGGCGGCGGCGGCGGAAGCGGAAGAAACGTCCGACAAATCGCTGCCCATCTGACGAACTCATGTCGGTCTTTTCAACTCATAATTCAAATGGCTGTGGGCGCTTTCCACCCTCTCGATGTAGCGTCGTCGTTTTCTTCTACGCCTTTTTCCTTATCATCATCTCTAAAAAGCTTCCTTTTTTCCAGTCTTTGACCAAGCTTCTAGCCACTTTCTTGCTTTGTTTTAGCTCATCTGCTCGGCCCATGGATAATTCCTGTGACTCTCTGATTTGTGTGGATGGCGCTGCTGGCTCTTGTCAGGGCAGGCAGCTTGTGTTCGCTGGCCCTTGCGCGTGCTTCAGTATAGGTTGGGCTACGATCCCGTTTAAGATATTGTCTAGTCCGGTTAGTTAGTCGGCTTCGTTGTTTCTCGCGCGAGACACACCACCATCGCAGCAGTGAGTCAGCGTTGGTGATAACATGGTGCCCAGTCTGTCTTGGTAAGCGGTAGCGGGGCTAGTGGTAAAACTCGGGTGCACCTACCCATCGAGCGCGCAGCTGACTAGAAACATAGCCGATCAAATAGAGACAAGCCAACTAGATCTGCGAAAGGATGGCTGCTGTTGTTGCTGCTCGCGATACCGTGGTCCGTATCCCCTACTAAACCCTAACACATACAATATATGTATATCGAGAACATGGAAGTTGTGGGCCGGCTACGGCAGCGCCATTCCGCCGTAGGCGGCTACCACGGCCGCTGCCTCTCTTCCATCTTATTTTAGAGGTCCCGGTAGTATTTGCTAGTCTTCTTCTAGCAGCGGTAGCGGTACGAGGCCGCACGACTTAAAAACTGCTATTGATATCGATGCGGTTGTTCCCGTCAATGATGACGATGATTGTAAAGATGACGATTAGTCTTGGTTGCGGTACGATTACCATGTTCGTTTTTGTGCACCATGGAATAAACACTGCTATTACATACAAACACAGACAGAAGCACCAAAAACAGACAGGCACAGTCAGCCTGCACCGCATTACGCCACAACCCTACGAGATTTACCCAAACATACAGGATTACAGGGACATACGAACAGGTACGATTCAGACTCTTCTCAATAGCTACGCTGCCGGGCCGCTAAAGACGGCCGCCTAAACCCCAGTAAACTTGTTGGGCTTTGCGAACCATTACGAAGTCACCGGCAGCAGCGACTGTTGTGTCGGACGCGATGGTTACGCTCTGCAATGCTGCTAGAACGCTGGCCGGTTAGTAGATCGACAAGCATTGCTTCGCCAGCCATATCCATAATACCACAACACTATAGCATAGTGTAGAGCGTCAGCTGGCAGCGCCAATCAAGACACGGTGCTGGCGGTGTTTGGTGCTGCACCTCGCTGGCGGACGTGCGTTTGCTGTCGTCGCCCAGAGTGGCACCATTTATTTGGGCAATACACATTCAGCTGGTCATAGGCTGCTAGGTAAGCCACTTCGCTCGAACACGATATTTGCTAGGCTCAAACGGTGGTCATTGGTAAGCAAACGCGTGCGTCTGTGTATAATTGGCACGTAAGTGTAGCGCTCGCTAATGGAGCGAAACAACGGTGAATTTCGCGACTACAAATACCATTAATATATGATCGGAAAATAGTGATACACCGTATAGAAATAGCATATACATATGTAGAGGGAAAGTGGCCACTCTGCCAAAATGGATACTCGCTAAACTGGATGCGTCGTTTGTGTTTTTGCTCTTACCATAACCTCGTATATCATTGTGGACCACAATAGTTTGTATACCGTGAATAATCCGCGATCTTCTGCTACATCCGAGTAAGTTTTCTTTTTTTCTAGGTTACTGGAAAAGTTGTCTGCGCCGATCGATGCCTTTGCTTGTCCCACTGGTGGCGTTTGAAGACCGAAAACAATTCAGCTGGCGAGCGGGCGCCTCCAAAAAGTCTATACCTTTATATACCTTTATAACCTGTATGCGTGCACGAATAAATGAGTGCTGTATAAAGTTTATTCAATACTGTACAGCAGAGGAACGGCTGTATATTTGTGTGGAGACAATTTTTTTGCCAATTCGCAAACAAATCTTAGCACAAGATTTCATCTCGTCACACAAAAGGTTCCGCGTTGCTTGGCATCGACGAACACAACATCAAATTGTTAAAGGATCTGAGCGTTGGTTATCTGTGTAGCGGTCTTTGCTTAGTTCATAAATTTTTATAGAAAACAAAATAAGCAAAGGACTCACTGGTAAGCCTCCTATTTCTTCAACGAACCCCTCGATGTTGCTGTGTGTTCATAGTGTTTCATGGGTATATCGTGCAAGTCGTGTGCTACCTGCCCAAGCTTTGTAGTGATAATGCAACTATAATCATTGCGCTGCTATTGGATACGTTGTTGCAATATAAGTTTCGTGTATGCCACTACCTTGTACGCGGAGAGCTGCACGACGGTCAAGCAGTGGCTAGGTTCAGCTTTTACTGGTAGTCCCGGTTCGTCGTTTGTGTGACCATCCTGCCCAGGCCCAGCAGGGGCGACTCCCTTCTTACACGTAAGCCAAAAAGCCAGACCGTTGTCTAGTAAGCATTGGTAAATTGAGCAATGTCCGTATAGCGCGCGAGCGGCAATGCAGAGAAGAACAACAGCGAGCTTAACATAACATCGCGACTAGTAGATATTAGTTAACGTTAATCTACCTGAGGAAGGAACCTATTCCACTTCAATACATACATACATACATACACTATACGCATATAGGCCTAATTTACTAGGTTTTAAGAATGAAGAAAGGCATGGTAACTATTGTTATGTACTTACTGTTGCACGAGACGAATAGGTATTACACATATAAACAAAGCAAAATTACGTACCACATGGTGAAATTATTTATTCATAAAGCAATTGTCCCTACCTACGATTAGTTGTTATCAACCTTATGTTTAAATTGTACGCTAGTGCTGTTTATTATTAGATCCAACTTGTTGTGAGAGCCACACAGAGAAATAGCCTTCATTGCTTGTGAAAATGATTTTCACGTATTCCGGTCATTTTAATGCCATTCTATATTTGACGCTCTGTCACGTTTGGGACGCCGGCTTCTGTCAACGCCTAAGCCACTACTAAAGGACTAAAAAAATGACGATAACAGCTAGCGCGCTCCGCTCCGTCGTTTTCATTATCAAACGACTTCTATGACCGCAGTAACGAGAATAATTTTGATTACCCTATTGATAAAAATGCTATCATTACAGTATCACCATGTTCCGTACGCTCTGTCAGACTAAAGCCGTCTCCATCTTTCTCTTACCAAGGAATACCACTAGTCATAAAGATACTTGCCACCAGACACAATACTTTGGGTTGCTCTTTAACGACTGCATCCGTAGCGACACCTTCAAGAATAACATGAACAACAACAACAACAACAACAACAACAACGATAGCCTTTGGGACCCGACAAACCCCCACTGCTGAGCTCTGATCCTCTTGACGTCACAGTCGTCACAAATTACGACGATATCAACTTCGAGTTCTTTCGACACTACCAAAGGTGAACAATCAGCCTCCGTCGTTCGTCTAAACGCTTGTACCGAAACAGCAGCCGCTGCGGACACGGAGCCAAACGTGTCACCTGTACTACTAGGCTGAGATGCGCTGCGGTACGATATGCGTTAATCAGTACTAGCTAGCTTTTTGCGATTTTATTTCGTCTTTTCCTGTTCCTGCTTAGTTTGTCGACACTGCGATGGTAAAGGAGACGGCAAAAATAAGCAATCGAAAGGAAACAAAACGAGATGTAGCTGTCATGTAAGTAATATTAGTAAAAGGAGCGATAACAGTACGGAGAGTTCTGCCTTTTGTAGGTGCTGTTAGGACGAGGGGAGTGACGACTCCTATGGCTTGATATGAATGAACGAGCTGCGGCCTCGTACACAAGGCTTGCTCTATGTTAGATAGAAACACAGTGCATTGTTACTGCCGGTGGCTGTACAAATAGATCGGAGCTGACTCTACCCTCTCTCGGTCTCGTTCATTTCTTTTTCCTCTCTGACAAGCAGGCACAATCTATTTTTCGCTACTCCGCACCTTCGTATTCCGGTCTTGCTCCCTTCCCACTCGGAGCCCTGCAGCTGGATGTTGGTTGCACCTCTGCAGCGCAGCCTTGCACTCAATCCAGCCAAAAAAAAAAAGACTGAACAAGGGAACCTAAGAATGATGTACCGTTCTTCATCTCGACGCTAGTGGCGTCGCACTTTCTCCGAGATACATCGTACTCATCATCTGGGGTCGCTGGGAGGTTCTCTCTAGCAGGCTCCATTTATGCATAACTTTTATCGTCATTCGTCTTGCGAGATCTGAACCGAAGTCGAAGTTGTCTATTCGAAAAGCACCCGAGGGATAGCATCAGTCATGATGCTTCGAAGTTTATATGCTGAACTCTACAGTGACCACCGGCATCATTGTCGGCGTTATTTAGCCTACTATTACATCTCGATTTGTTACATCATACGAAAATATGTTAAACTTAAAAGGGGTATTTAACACACCAAACCTGGAATGAAAGTGGACAAACAGCGGGTACAGACCATCGATAGTTTCTTAATTTTTTAATTGCAACATAAACATTATTATTATTATAACATAAACAAATATTAACTTATTACATACATATGGTATAGTATTAATGGCATTCAATTATGTATTTATATGTCTCTCGTTTACACGTTCTTTTGCGGATGTTAAAGGAAACGACTGATCGCAACGAATGAATTATATTCTTAGTCAACTTCCCGTTTCGTCTGCCCCCTACTTTTGGATGATTCCTGCACACCCTGACTTTTCCAAGTATTTACTGTTACTTACATTGCATTTATTAACAAATTGAAGCCGTAGATATACTAGTTCGATCACTGTTCCGTCGCTGCTGCCATGGTCGGTATTTCTTCGAAAGCTAAAATCCTATGCCGACCAATGAGATGAGTCAAAACGGAGGCCTAAGTCGGACACGGTTTCCTCCTACTTGAGCAGAATCGCATTCCAGAGCGAATCCTCCATGACTGGCTGAAAGCGGACGGTTAAAAATATACGGAATTGTATGGGTTTAACATACAAGAGCCTGCTTTCTAGGTACTAATGGCAGCCTGCGACGAAACTTCCCAGATACTGACGGTGTTGGCATTTCTAGCGGCTGATACCCATAACGGCAGAAGCTGCGGAGACAGCTGTTGGCCTTTTCTCCCACGATATACTGCCTTTACACCTATCCAGTCTACGATTTATTATAGTCGATGTATAATAGTTAAAGTTATACGGAATTCCAATTGACACTAGAACGTTTCGGAAGTTACGTCACGTAGATCATGAGATCTCAATTACTTTATTGAAATCATATATACATATATATGTCGCAAAGTTCGACGTATCTATTCAGTGCTTGAACAACATTGGGTGCACACCCACTGAGAACTGATGCTTAACACCCTTAGGCAATACTCGTATGGGCATTGAAAGCACGTTAAAATAAAATACAGATCAGGTAGTAGAGGACAATGATGCTAGAAATAGACATTGTGAAAACGGCTCGTAAATATACACTATATTGTACGTTCCGAATCGATCCCACAGGAATACATATTAATTCGGTCATTGCGTGACGTAAATGCACGAACGGGTGGAGATCTTTCGAGACAATCCAAATGTGATCAGTGTTTAATTTCGTACCGTTAGATATTTAATAGAATATTTCTGAAATACGCTATGTGCTGTTAATTTATAGTCAGTATCTGAGTATGATTTGCGTGTGACAATCGAATGCTAAATCACATACACGATTACCCAATAGCTAACGGAGTGAGACGCACACACGATGCTACGAGTGTTGGAAGGCACTTATCGTCACGCAAATTACCATTACTAACCAGGAGTAGGAGTTACTCCAAAGGGTCACTGTCTGTCTGTTGCCAACCTTCCACCCCAGTCTTTGCGTCACCAGACCGCGTTTCAAACACTGATCCCTCTACCGTCCGAACGAGCTACGTGGTTAGGATTAGACGGCATCCACGGTTAGCCGGCAGTAACAATGCGATGCTTGGCAAAAGTCGTTGACAGACTGTTACAACTCCATCATGCGATCGATGAACAATTAACTTACCTGTCTGTTACTCGGTGGTCAGCTATATTAGTGATACATTTAGTTGCAATGCATCAGCGTCACCGAGAGCGTGTTCCATATCGACACAGTTAGGCTGAACTTCATCAACAGCTGACTTTGCGTTCAAACCTATAAATGTAGGCTCGGGGCGCTAAAATAGGTATTAAAACACGCTACACGGTATTAAAATAGGCAATACGATAAGGTGATACGAGGTACTGAGTAGTACAATTATATATGGCTAGTGATTGTCAATATACATTGTTTTTTACGTTCTAGAGTATACATTACTTATTACTTGTTTCGACCAATCTACCTATCTGTAAACTTGTGAAAAAATCGCTTTGAAAAAGATTACATCGTTATTTTCCTTCGGCGGAAGTTGTGATATGATTATAATTAATCCCGTCCCCCACAAATGAACTTACCTCGGACTCTTTTGTAAACTTCTAAGGTAAGCTAGTTGTAATACTGAACTGACATGTTTTAACTTTACAAAAATAAATAAGAAAGTAATAAAATCCCATTGTTGCATGCACACTGTGAGGCTTCTGGCAAAGTGAAAGAGGCGATATTGATCGAAATTTAGATTCGCTATGGGTCTTATTAGATATTAATGATGTGAATGACTTTTAGTGTTGTTGCCTTTTTACCATATTTTCGCTACTTGATAGTCCTCTTACCCAAAAAATGCACGTAACTACTGGACTAGTAATTGCTCGCTAAGAGTCTGCGAGATCTGATCTGATTATTTGCTACTGCACTGTCTCTAGTTGATCCCTAAAGTCAGAGGGTCGTTTGACCTTCCCTGGATACTTATCGTCCCTGTTTTTGTGCCCAGGGCATTACACCAAAGTTATATTGATCTATTGCTGAGGGTTAAACGTGGAGGCGGAACACAGAGAAAGAAGAACGAGAAAGAGACGTAGTACGTTTCGTTTGGCTATTCCTTGCCCCTCCTTCTCTCAAATTCTCTCACTCAATAAATTGTTAATAACCTGGGTTTTGTGATAGTCGATTACGCCTAGCTCAAACTTAGACGTACAACGAAAAGGTCTCAATCACCATAAGTCTCTTCGAATGGATTCCACGCACACATTTGCTTTTTTGTGTTGGAGAAGTGACCAGATTGAGTCGCATCTTCTGCGAACACGTTGGAAAGCAAAGATACCCATGAATAGATTGAAGACGGCTCTTTTGGTAAGGATCTAGCTTACATGACCTATTGAGGTCCTAATCTAACTAATTACAAATATCAAGTAAATCCGGTCGAGGTATAGTTATTACTTTTTGTCACAGTTTTATTCAAAGCACTTGCGGCAAGTGCTCAGCGAAAAATGTCTAGTGGCTATATCGCAAAGAAAGGACGCCATTATATTGTACGCAAGGGTGCATTGACTGTCACATATTACTCTGTTGTGAAAATACTGGCCCTGTCTTTGTATCGAGACCTTAGAGTACAATCGATAGCTTGTTCGTGATTTGTAAACTTTCGTTGGCTAACGTTTAGCAAAATTGCCCCAACTGTTGAACGGGGCAGTTTTGGCTGCACTGTGACGTTTTTAGGATGGCTTTAATAACATCATCCCCCTTGCATCCTCCCTCACGATAATTCGATAGCCTCTTTTTTACGTCTTCGCTGACCCTTTTGTTTTGTGAAACCAAATTCTAAGGTATTCAACAAATGAATTTGGGCCAATCTTTAAACCTACGAATCTGACAGACGATTATTGCCAATGTTTCTATTCACTATATAGTGAAGTATTTGCATACAAATACGGAAACTATCAATACGTATGCAACTAGATAGACCGTAGTGCAAGATACAATCGAGCGTGTAGAAAACCATATACCCATATTATTGGCATACCTGCACTTGAGAAAACCATTTTAGACGTTAGCCCGCAAAACAGGTTCATTGAACGGTTCGCTGTACAATACCGCATGACATGACTCTATATTTAGCCCCTACCGTTGTATAGTTACGCCCACCAATATGAATTGCTCTAATACTGCCACTCTGTCACTCAAATGGCATCGACTGCCTATGCTACGAAACAAACACACAGTTTTTACTTAATCGTAAGAATTTCCACGACGATTTATATTAACGTTTGCTAGGGTTCTAAGGCTTCCTAACCACGCTACCCCGTCAAATCCCTCTAAGCCCAATCGAAAGTAGGCTTGTATCGTTCAACATGTGAATTTCTCTATCATCACGTAAATCAGGACATGCAACGTACTCTGCTGGCGGTAGTGATATACATGCCGGTAACTATTCTTACAAATATAAACTCCATGTCATGCTCTTGTCATGGCTTGTACAGCCAGCTTTTGCACGCTCACCGAACAGGTCGCAAGCAAACGCTTAGATCTGCAGGCAACTCTGCGGGTCAGCTTGCAAACAACAGCCGTCGACCAAATTGTAGATCAAGCCCCACACGTCATATAAGCAGTTGGTATAGACAGTAATTAGTCGACGAGATATCGTCTTGTTCGGATCAGCTAATAATACCGCAACTATGTTAGGTTTTTTAGCATTAGTAATTATTCATTTTGTGTGAACAAATCTTCAGAATTACCTATTTTTAGTCTCAGGGACTTGCTCCATTGAGAGAACTACGACGGGTTACGAACTTACACGTTAGATGAGGCTAAGTTGAGTTAAACGAAGTTAGACAGGGCTGGGTTTCATCGTATTCTGCATTACGCAGAGACTCAGCACGCCACACCACCGGCCAGTCTTTGCAGGTTGCGGTCCTATGCCTGCCCTATCGCCTGCAGACCTGTCGTTAAACCGTGAGTCGTCGGCGTAACTAACATTGCAGCCGTCTCCTCCAGCGTAATCTCCAACGTTTCCTCTCCGTATATACGCCCTGTTGCGCGCAGTCCAGGCCAACTGGCCTGGCCGGGTTAACCTGCTTAGAAAGTGCGAATGTGCTAGAGCGGAAGATTCATATCAACAGCGTGGATACAAGGGTATATGAATATGAATTAGTTAATATAATACGATGGTGAATATATGTCGAACGGTTCCTTGGCAAGTCGGTGCTGCCGTCCTCTCTTTCCTTTCGCCGTTCCGTTCGTTCTTCCAGCGAAGAAACCTCGGCCACCTGCCGCTTTAGCGACATTTCATTCATCACCCGTTAGGGCTTGTGACTTGTGGCTGCTGGTCGTTGGAGGCTTGAACACAGTCCTGCTCGCCGGCCCGACTCGGTCCCTACTTCGCTCTATCTCTAACGCCAACGTCGCTGGCACTGCTACGGCCGCAGGTCACAGCCGCTTACCAATTATATATCGGTTGAAAAAGATGGCGGCGAAAAAAGCACCGGCTACAGTCTCTACGACGAAGACAATTACGAAGACGACAAGGTGCATTCGTGCACGTGTATGTATATATGAAATGGACTTTGTCTAAAGGCGGAAGTTCTTGTTCGACTTATGTTCGGCACTGCATCTAAAGGAAAAAAGTATATATATCAACGATATGTTTTTCATTTTGTTAATATTATTCTGTAAGTATTATTCTGAGCGATCAGCATAATTCAATACAACCAACATCCACCGGAACTATATCTTCAAGTCATGATTTAATCCACTTATGAGTCAGTATCAAAATATTCCTCCTTTAAGTTACAAGTAACTTTTCATTGGTAGCTGTAAGTAACGCAAAATTGGTAGGTTAGTGTCGTTTAAATTTGCACACGTGAAAAGTTTCAGCGGAAACAAATTTTTGGGCTGACAGCTGGCCAGAAGCCTTCAAAGTCTAACGGCAGAGGATAGCCAAAAAGTTTTAAAACGACTAACTATCGGAGCTTATCTGGGTGGCCTGATTGGGAATTGATATCTCCTTCCCAAAAACGGCCACTAATTTTTGTATAAACATTCTGCCGTATTAAAAAGTGATTTCTTAGGCCACTCTTATTCATTTTCAAGCTTGTTAAATTTAAAATTAATTGAATATACTTCAGTACAACTCATGAAGATATTTTTCGGATATTTTAGAAGACGAATTAAAACTGGCAATATGTGGACTGTCGATTTTGGGCAAAACGTTCCTTGCTTTGCTGGAAGTTCGTCTAGCGCAAAGGGATTGCATAATAGCTGATCCTCCAAAAAATTCCAAAATACGTATATAAGTATATACACCCCCATATTTGTCCGACAGCAGCCGATAGCAATGTATGAAAGGGAATATTGTGTTCCTCGGTGGTAACGAGGAGGTGGCGATGGTGCTCCTGTTGTTACCACTGCCATATCTCAGTCGTTGTAGCCGTTATTCAGTGAAGTACGGGGGAGGAAGAAAAAAGAATCTCAGTACGAATAGGTAGAATGTCAGGTCCAAGCCGGCGAGTTTGGTGAACACAGACAAACTTCTTTTACAGTCGGTTCGTACAAAGCTGAGATAACCTATTCGATTCCCTTGGTTAATCTTAACTGGGCCAAATTGTGAGGAGCAATTAGTATCTAAAGGCCCATTCTCAGCGCATTCTCAATGATGGCAGTAAGACAGGGCAGCAGATCTGAAGGGAATGTAGTCTGATTCGTAGGTCTCAAGTAGACCACCATTAAAATAAGAGGGCTGACCGGATGAAATGAACCTAAACTTGCTTAGGCTACCCCTAAGCAATTAGGCCAGGAGGAAAATTTCGTCGATTGTTGAACTCGCGCCCTTAGTTAAACTGGTGACGGTGACCCGCTTAATTTGGACAGCCTGATAGGTCTTGGGGTCATTGTTAGGAAGGAACGAACCACTTATTACGGCTCGATGCCACCCATTCCAGCAGAAGCCTGAGCAGTGCCACCTTCACTTGTGGTGCAGCTACTCAGTCTCATATTGTCTTACCAAGAGTTCATATCACACAAACATACATGCACACATATATACTGCAATAATATTGGATTCAGGAGTCAAACGATACGTCCTTGCCTGAGAAATAGATGTTCACTCATCCGCTTTCTCTGAGCTCCTGTGCGTGATGTAATCCGCGCGACTGTATCTCTATATGCTTACGTATTTATGTAGGCCTGCGTGTATGTTTGTGTATAATGGATCCTACTTTATAGCCTTGTCTGCGTATAAACGCAATCGGTTGGTCTCGAAGCAGGCTTGTATTCACCCGCCGCTGGCAGAATTTTTGCTCTGTCAATATAACAACAAATTGTCTGAGACAGGACCCTTTTACATTGACTGACCAATCGCGCAGGTGATGAAATCATCTGCGCGCCGTCATTGTTTGACGTTGTACCTCAGTGTAGCTCGTGGGATCATTGAACACCAGATAATGCCCTGAGATAATATTTGAAATCAATAAGCGAAGAGTTGTAGAGATTAACCGAGTAGCTGATTGCGTTCTGTTGCCATTATATTTGGTGTAGTATCTGTCTCGTTCTGGGCTACACAAACAACCTACCGTTGAACTAATGAGAACAGGCAACTGCCAATGATAACAACTCAAGAAGGTAACAACAAGCAACAAAAGGATCAGAAAATATTGGATTTACTCAAGCTGGCATCAGATTCAGCCCTTTGCTGCCACCAGTCTGAGTGGCTCTTCTAATTCAGCGTCATCTGATGCGCAGCAGCTGGCCGCCAAGCGTTCTCTCTAGGCGCAGTTCTGTTCTATTGCAATAACATACTATTATCTTTAAGCGTGAGTTCCTATGTCGGTGTTACCTATCGCTTCTCTTGTGGATTCTGTATTTCTGCTTTGGCTGAGTAGTATGGCATTTGTGTGCTAGTTTACAGAGAATCGCGTTAGATACGCGGACGCGTCACAGGCTCGTCAAAGACACATAGCCGTTGTCGGCAATGAAGCTGGCGTCATGCGCTGCTAGAACCGCTAGTAGGACACACGGGAGCCATCACAGGTCGCCAGAAGCCATGGAATCAACGCGACGTGCCGACGCTAGCGTGGTTTGAGCAGCCGGCTACTCGAAACTGCCGACAATATTTAAGGGAAACATGCCATTGATAGATCGCGACAATCGGTCCTTTTTGCCTTGTATTTCATCCTGGTTGATTCCTATCACACTGCGAATTATAAATATTTATAATTCACGGGGCAGTTAGATGCTCGACTGCGACATTGCAAAAGATTCGAAATTATAGTACTATATTTGATTGCACAATTGTTCACAGTGTATAGCGGAACTGTATCTTTATATTGGAATACACTATTGTTTCTTGTATAGAACGTGAATATGGTGTGGGCAGTATCTTCGCTCATTATATGGTGCTTGAAACGCTCAGGTCCGTCAGCTGGTTGGGTGAGCAGTTACGCAGACAAGTTAAAGTGTTGATGGAACTTTCAGCGTAAGCGCTGACTATGTAAGAAGGGTTTCCGTACAAAAGCGTTTACGTCAATCTTCGTGTATGGATTTTTAACCAAATACATATGTGAATTTTTCCGATGCCGTCAGAAATTGAATAATCGGCAAAAACAATTTCGAGAGTTGGCCGGAAACAACAAGAGTAACATGTACAAGACAATAGGGCTTACATGAATACTAACACAAGCTGCTACGGTAAAACTAGAAAGAAGGCGTTCCCGAACTTGTTCTCTTTTGGTTACGCAGAAGCCCTCGTATGTATATACTAAGCGTATTTGCAATGCGTCATCTCCGGGGTTCATTAAGGTATTAAGTCTAACAGTTGCTACTATTCTGTTAGCAATATTTTACTTATATAATATAGTATAGAGCGATCAAAGGGTGATTTTCGATAGGTTCTGTCTACTAGTATGTCTAGATAGCTACTGCTTTATTAGCTTCCGCAGTTTTGTATATATGTAGCCAAGACCAGTCTGACTCATTCGTAGTATAGGCTATTTCTGGTATAGGTCACAGGCTATTCCCTGGATCCATTGTCAAGAATTAAGTGTGCGTGCTCCGTATGTTTACGCTTTTCTAGCGTCGAGTCCATCGCCTAATCTCTCTCTCTCCCTTCTACCTCTTTATTCCTCTATTCGAAGACTAAATACGAACCCTATAGCATCAAGGTTAATTGGAGTTTACTTATCTATCTTTTAGCGTACGTTACCTTCTGTGTGGTTACTTGCCCTGCTGTCAATCTACCTACCTAGTTCTAGTCGTAAGAACGGCTAGTCTTCGTCCTGATTTTCTATACGTATTTGCGAGCTCTTCCCTACTTCTGCAACTCAATATTTTACCAGCAGCATTCAACCGTGTGTTTTCACTACTGTTGCAGTCGATGTATAAGACATCTAATATGCTATAAGTACGTGTTGTAGGCTTCCTTCCGGTCCGTTAGTCGTAAATCATTTGGGCTTGACGCGAGCCAACCAAGCGTAATCAGTTCTCTACTTTACCTATCGACTAGCTAAGGACCTCCTAGCTAGGTTGACTCTAGGTAAGAACTAGATCTATCCATATATGTGGAGCCACACTTATACTTCTGTTGCTTCTGCTGCCTTCACTACATACCATCATCGAAAATAACCATTGCCCATTTCTGCTTCCTTAACTATTTCTATAAACATTCAGCTTCTATTTTGATTATATGTAGTTATGGGCTGTCCGCCCATGTTATAGTGCTTTTACCTGTACTGGCATCGTAACTAAATTCCGCCTGCTCGAGCAGACAGAATCCAGTTGCTGTACGGCCCGTTGCCCAGGGCTATTAGTCCACCTAACTAGCTGAGTCTAACCCAGATGGGTCCGACTTGTTCAGAGTGGTCAGCTGGTCGTATTGCCTACCACAGCGTCAATGGCAACCCCGACCGCGAACAA